CCCCACAAAATGAATAAAATTGCCCTTTGGCCAGGTGGCTGTTTGGGTTAGAACATCATGCTTGGGTGCAGTGATTCAGCAACACCCACTGCCTCTGTCCTTCTATCGAAAGATAAACAGGTTGTGGAACTTTGTGACCTTGATGGTCACAAGAGCCACAATTCTGTAATTTTAATTCTGTAATTGCTGAACTGTGCTTCTGGCTTCAGTATTTTCCTTTTAGGGACACAAGAGGCCTAATGGACCTGCTGGAACAGAATAATGGATAGAAATCCATTATATCAACATAAAGAGTCCATTGAAGTATCAGGAGAGGGCAAAATAAGTTTCTTTTGCCATACCTGCTGCAGGATATATCTCAGGAATGGCCAGGATTGTATTTTATGAAATAAAGTTGTTCTGAAAATTAGTCTGTTAACAGCCAAGATTATTGTAACTGTTGTTGTTGTTGCCCCCAAAGCTCAAGTATTTAGAAGTGGAGATAAGGTGAATGAGTCTTATTTTATATTTCATCTTTAAATTATTTTATTGTAAATTTTAACAAAAGAAATTAAAAATAGAAATATGTGGCAACACAGGTTTGCATATATCTATTTTAATGCATTGATATGAAATGTGTGTGTCAAAATATAGAGATCAACAAAGAAGTCCAAATATCCTAGGAAATCTCCATTCCCAGGTGGCCTTATATACTATGCAATCAATGTCTTCAGTCCATCACATTATAGGAGGTAGAGTTTATCCTTCCAGTGCTGTTATATCAACCCTTTAGCTGTTAGAAATTTAAAGAATCCAATTCTGCTTACTGTGCAGTAACTTCCAGGAAGGAGGAGGTTATGTGACTAAAAATGAAGGAATATTCCAGTGCAAAAGGCATCCATACAAAGACCTGTTCCATGAAATGGGCAACTGTAGGTCATTGCCAAAGCATTTACACGCTTTAAAAAACATGTGGGAGTTACATTGGAACTCCTACAATTGGCAGGTTTAGCAAACCCTGGCTGAAGAGATACTGTGGTTTCCCATAGACACAGAGAGACATTTTTGCAGAATAAGGTTCACCTGATACCCATAGATAGATCTGGTGCAGGTCCCATTCATTATGCAAAGCCGGATGATTTGGTTCATATTCTTTTCCTGCTTAAAACTCTGTATACCATGCATGTTCACCAACAATAAATAGTGATCAGTATAGATTGCAGGTCTGCCTTAGCCCAGGCTTCCCATAGTGAAGGAGGTGCTGAAGTTGTAAAAGAATATGGCCAAACCTAGATCTGAACAAAAGTTGCAGCTGCCATTCAGTCATAGCTAGAAAGTCACATATAACCTACAAAACAGAACAACAAAAATTCATTAACAACAGCAACCATCTGATCTAATTAGATATTGCCTTATCTGTCCACATTTGCCACAAAATTATTTACTAAATGGAATGCTCTATTTAGCATGTGTAAAAGGATGAAAATATAAGTAATGTGAGATTATGCACCACACATTTCTGACAGCCATAACTGAGGGATAAATTCTTTCTGTTCTAGCTAAACTGCTTGAAAGCATGATTAAATATAGAATCGGTAAGCACATAGAGGGTCAAATCCTGATGAGAACAGGTCAGCACAACTTCCGCAAGTGAAAGTCTTGTCTCACTAACCCACTAGAGTTCTTTGGGAGTGTCAATAAGCGTGTAGGCAGGCAGGATTCCAGTAGACCCAGTTTACTTGGACTTCCAGAAGCCTTTTGACAAAGTTCCTTGCAAAGGTTCCTGAGCAAACTAAGCAGTCATAGGATAGAAGGGGGTCCTCCTATGGATCACTATCTGGTTGAAGAATAGAAAACAGGAGGTGGGAATAAATGGCAGTTTCTCCCAAGGGAGAAATGTCAGCAGCAGAGTCCCACAAGGTCCTGTATCAGGATCACTGCTTTCCAACCTGTTAACAAATTATACTGAATTAGAAGTGGTGAGGTGGCACAGTTTGATGATGACACTAAACTTTTTAGGGTGGTTAAAACCAAAGGGATTGTGAGGAACTCAAAAGGCATCTCTCCAAGCTGGGAGAACGGGCATCAAAATGGCAAATGCAAGTGTAGAGTAATGCAAAGATCCCAACGTCAAGTATTCATGAATGGATCTGAACTAGTGGTGACTGGGTAAAAAGGGATCTTGGGGTAGTGGTGGACAGCTCAGTGAAATGTCAACCCAGCGCTCAGCTGCTGTGAAGAAAGCAAACTCCATGCTAAGCATACTTACGAATGGAATTAAAAATAGAATTGCCATAATCTTACTTCCCATATACAAATCTTTGGTGCAACTTCACTTACAATACTGTGCCCAGTTCTGGTCACCTAAGGAAAAAAGGGCATTTTACGGAATTATACAATATACAAAGAAGAGCAATGAAAATGATCAGGTGGCTGGAACAGTTCTGCTATGAGGAGCAGCCATGACAATGGGGACTGTTCAGCTTAGGAAAAACAGTGAGGAAGAGGAAACACGATAGAGGTGTTTTAAATAATGCATGGTGTGGAGAGAGTAGAGAAGGAGACATTTTTTTCCCTCTCCCATAAAACTTGAACTTGTGGTCATTTCTTCACAAAGTGTATAAATTATGGAATCTGCTGCCATGGGAAGCCATTATGGCCACCATGATGGTTTTAAAAAGGGATTGGATAGATTCATGAGGGAGGCTATCAGTGGCTTCTAGCCTTGCTGGCTATGTGCTACCTCCTTTACCAGAGGAGGTACCAGTTGCTGAGGAGTTTGTACCCGAGGGAGTCTTGCACCCATCCTGATTGAGCAGTCCTGTGGGTGGCTGCTTTGTCACTGTGTGTACAGAGTGCTGGTCGAAATGGATCTTTGGTCTAATCTGGCATGGCTTTTCTTTTGCTCTTAAATTCTTATTTATACATCCAGTGGCTTACATGGTTATTGGCTCTTTTGAAGAAAATACCCCTGCACATGTTTGTGATGTGTGTAGCTGCAGTGTTTCAAGGACAGCCCTAAGTTCACCTGTAGAGAGATGGTCACCTCCGACATCAGATGTTAAGGGATGGTGAGCAGTGGTGAGATTTGGTGGGAGCTAGAGTTGCACATGCTGCCATTGGACATGGTGGAAGACACTGTATTGTCACCAGGACTTCTGTTTCAGTTCTGTGCTTAACAGAAGTGAGCCTCCATTTTGCCTCACTCAACCATGACTATACTACATAATGCCATACAAAATACTTTTGCAGCAGTAGGTGCACATCACAAAGGGGATCATGAGTGGGTAACTTGGCCTAGAACTCTCATTGTGTCTCAGGATTGGCTATGCTGGGCAGGGGCTAATGGGAATGTAGGCTAAAAGAGCTTTCCCACCCCTGTGAAAGATCAAGATATATAGTCTCCTGTATCTCCTGTGGATATACATAGTAGCCTTGCCATGGCAAATGAATATAAAATTGCATAGCAATATAAATCTGCTTTTAGTGACCTAGTGGATTCCAAAGCTGACAAGTAAGTCAGATCATGACCACCTGGCATTCTCAGCATTGGCTACACCCACTGCACTTTGATGCCCTAGATAGCCCTTCTAATATTTGACCATGAAAACTGAATGTTTGCAACAGCAGTTCTCAAGGAATGTCAACATGCCAGATGGGTGGAGGACAACATAAGCGTTCCCTTTTCGCCCAATTTTTTGTGTAGCTGATTTATCAGACCAAGCTTATCGACAAACAATAGGGCATTCCAAACCTGTTTCCCTAGACACCAATCCTCAAGAAAATGTTTCCAGCCAAGCCATTCAACTGCAGTTTGGGACTTCTTTGCAGAGTTCTTACAATAAGCACTGTGTTATCACTGTGGAACAATCCTGAGCTTTCTACAAGCCAAGAATGTACACAAAGAGCTCAAATCTTTCTGCTAAAGTGAAGGTTGAGCACTTTTGTAAATGTTTCTTCCCCTCAGCTTTATCTGGATCCCTGAAATATTTTCACAGAGGCACAGCAGAGCAGGGAATTGCAATATGCTTTATCTATTTACTTTTTCTCCTCCTCTTTTTATGAAGGAAGCTACAAGATCTCAGATTGTAGATCTCAAGAGCTGCTATGCAGTATCCAAAACAGGCTATCATTGACTACGGTGTACAAAACTGTGTTCACTGATCCCACTGTGGCACCATGGTCAGAGTGCTCCCTTGGAACTCTGGAGGTCCAGCTTCTAGTCCCCACCTGGCCAGAAATCTCACTGGGTGGCTTTGGGACAGTCCCTGACTCTCAGCCTAACCTGCCTCATGGTACCATTGTGTGGATAAAATGAAGAGGAGAAAGAGGAAGAGGAAAAAAAGATGGGGTATAAATGCAATGTGAGTTATGATTGTTCAATTCTTGTCACTGCAGCTAAAAGGGGTAATGTATAAAGGGGCAACCAAAACAATCAAGTGGCTGGAACAAGTCCCTTCTAGGGAAAAGATAAAATGTCTGGGATTGCTTAGCTTAGAAAAAAGGTAAATAGGGGAAGACATGATAGGGGTGTATAAGCCACACATGGTGTGGAGAGGGAGTTATTCTCTTTCTCATAACAATGAAACTGAATAGTAGGAAATTCGGGACAGATTAAAGGATGGACTTCACACAGCACACACTTAAAGAATGGAAGTTGCTAGCAAAAGATGAAGTGTTGGCCACCAACTCAGATGACTTTAAAGGGACTAGACAAAAAGGGATTAGGATAAAACTAGTGATTCCTACTAGTCATGAAGGTTATATATTGCTTCCAGTGCTGGAGGTTCTATTCCTCACAGAGCCAGTGCCTGAAAACTTAGTGTTCGTATGCTTAGGTCCTCATGTGGGCTTCCCACAGACGGTTGGTTGATCACAGTGTGAAACAAATGCTGATGAGACAATTCCTTGGTATGATCCAGCACAACTCTTACATTCTTGTGCGGAGGAAGCAATCGAAAGCTGGAAACAATACAGCTGCAATAAAAGTGGAGGTGCATAACACTCAGTACTAAGACATGTTTCTTTATAAATTTAATTTATTGCTTATCTGAGTACAACAAATATATTAAAAGATATCTTCATTGAAAAATCCAACACTGATACCTTGAAAGCAAAGAGCAATTCCAAGGAAAAGTTCAAATATTTAAAATGCTATTTGCTAAAATAATCATTATTTTTTTTCTCTTTCTTTAAAATATCTTTATATACTCTGCAATATATGATTCTCAAACTTCTATATAATATAGATATATTATAAAGTAGAGTGCTCTATTTTGATATAATTTGCATTCAGTAGTTATTCACATTCACACAATACAATGTAGACATATAGCAATAGACTTCCAAGCAATATATTGTGCTCAACTTCCAACAATCTTTCTTGAGTCCATAAACAAAGAGACCAGTATTTGGGCTTTGCAATATCAGTCATGCTTGTATCCACTGCTGGCATTCATAGCAAAAAACATTTCTCAGTGTTGTGGTACAGAGAAAGAACAATGCCTTTTCTATGTTAATGGTGTTAGACTCCAACCGATCGCATACACCTCACCATACTGACTTTGTTCATTGCATTCCATATCCTCCAAATATAAATTGACCAATGGACAGCTGACATTATTGCTCACTGAAGTTTTAGTGATACATTTCTTTAATGCAAGACAGAAATATACAGAAACTTGATAACCATTAACTACAACTGTGATCTGAAAAGTAAACTCTACATGTCCCAAATATTTATTGATATAGCTTATTAAAGATTTATGTCAACAAATGTAATAGGAGAAAACTCAATTTTCTTCCAACAAAGAAATAAGAACAGGCCTTCTGAAAACAGAAACAAAAATGAAATTCCAACAATGGGACAGACAGAAATCATGCTGCCACTATATTTGGAAGTCTGCTGAAATGAGAGAACTGCTGAAATGAGAGTGATGCTAACAAAAGTAAAGGTTTTGTTATGAATATGGATGCATTCTGACATTCTACATCTGTCTAGTGTTCAGTTCTATATGATATTTATTAGCCTATGGTGTGCCTCCTTTGAGCTGTAAGGCTGTAAAGGCTCCTTTTAGCTGTAAGGCTAAAAAGGTAGTAAGTACATCTAATCTATTGTATAGGACTTCAGTGTTAAGAAACTTCAGGTAGTAAGTTATATATCGAGTACTGCATGACAAAATTATCTTGATCAGTGCTGTGGTGCCTATAGGTCAGAAAAAGCAGCTATCCTGAATTACTGCTAAATATACTACTTAAAGGCAATGCATAGAGCCGTTGCGCCAGACCTCTTGCAATGTAAAAAGGAGCATTTCAGCACAAAGTAGCAATTTCCTTCCAAGACTTAAAAAACTATTCTCATCTCAATAAGGACACTGGGACAAATTTAAATTGAAAACACGTTCTCTCCTCATTATGCCACTCGCTCTTTCTATGGATATGACTGCTCCTTGCTGCATTTCTTATTGATTGGTTTGCCCCTCTTTGTTCTGGAAGCACTCTTTGTGCATCTGCTGTACATGTGCGAGAAGACAAGGGCTGCACCCATGCAGAAGCTGAAGAACAGCAAGATAGCAAAGGCCAGATGATTTTCTCTGAGTAACACGTTTGCTGTAAATTCGTCCATGTGTAGGTACAATGGCCTACTCCCACTTATTCGCAAGGAGAAAAGGCACGGCATCCTTTGTCATGCTTGCCCAAACACTGTAAGAGGGCTTTTAGTAAAGTCTGTACATCTTTAATGAGGCTTTAACTTTCCCAGGACAAAAGTGGAACGCTAATTAGCAACATGGCCAAGGATGCTGTATAAAGCTGCACCAGTTGTTTGCTGCATGCTCTGAAACATGACCCACAAAAACAGCTAGTTCAGACCACCCTGTGCATCCTCTTTGGCTCTCCAGTGAAGATGATGCTTTGCTGTTTTGCAGGACCTCATTAGGGGAATGGTAAAACAAGTGACCTACAACAAATAGTGTTCCTCCACTTCTGTCAGCTGGAGCTGGCCCCTAAGGCTCTGGCCACTGCTGCCTAAAGTAAACCAATCTCTATCCACATTCATTTAAATCCTGATTGTAACTTGAACTGTTGAAATGGGAAACCATAGATACACAGAAGGACAAATGTCTGCTATCTGCTTTGGCCAGTCCTAACAAAAGGAAGCTCATTGTTTTGATTAAAATGTAGTACCTCAGCTGCAGGAGTGGAGGGTAGGTTATGTACTCTTTGCTTAAACATAAATACAATTTTGAGATTTTGGCAGAAGTCTGAGCCTTTCGTTATGGAAGGGTGGGTGCTTATAGAGCAAGGGTGGGTTACACATAACATATAAATCAGAACAGAACAATTTCAGTAGTAAGATATACTACAATTCTTCATAGACTAATGTGAATTGTAACCTTCTACCCCACAAAGGAAGAGAGATAATATTCAAATCTATTTTAACAAAAGAGTACAAGGCAATTAACAACCCGTAGTGCCAAGACTCCTTTGTAATGGGATTCCCCATTGCAGAGAAGTCAACAATTATTTAGGTGTGGTTATTTAACAAAAATACATTGACACACAAGGCCTTATTTTGATACAGAAAAAATTGATAGTGCAGATTATCTTTGCAAGTTTGTTTAAAAACATATAAGATAGAAGGCAATTTAGAAGCACATTCTTTATAGTCGTCTAGGAACCCAAGTTTTCTTCCTGCTACAGCTCTGTCTTCCCTGGTTGGGCAGAAGTAGAACTGGAGCTTCCTTCTCCAGCATTTTTCTTGTCTGCAGGCTCAAACAACAGCGATGCTGAATTTATGCAGTATCGTTTACCAGTTGGACGAGGTCCATCATCGAAAATATGACCAAGGTGAGCACCACACTGAAATAAAAGAGAAAAAGTTGCATTCATGTATGTTTTACACAAAACAAACATACTACCTATAAGAATGAGGCTGTTCTTTGAGAGTATCTGATTTATATTGGCAGTTCTTTAAAACGCCTGTCTGTTGGTGGACTGGACACTTGGATTCAGTTCTAGTTACACATTCTGATCAAAAATTCATTCATTGCACACTAAGATTAGTTAGTGCTTTTCCCCTTGTGTGTTATTTAAAAACTGAAGCTGCTGGATTTCCAATCAATCAGTAGATCCCTGTGCTGCTCTAAATGCTAAAAGTACCAGGATATCTTACAGTTGTAAAACCACTCCTGCAGCAGAAGAATTTCCATATTGAGAGAACACAGAGATATATTGACTGCACTGGGATGCAGTTCCCGGAAATGCAAAATGATACCATGTACCAGACATGTCTCAAGTCTTCTGCAAGTGACGTTATGGATTCATATGAATAGGTAATCAAAGTAGAGGCTCATAGGGCTGAAGGCATGCATGCAACTGAAGTGTTAAACTAACAAAAGCACATGGAGTGGAATTCGATTGGCTTACGATGCAGTATCTGCACCGGATTCTGAATCAGAACATACACTGGGGCCTGAATTATAAATATTCTTGCATACGAACACCCATAGGCCTGCCATTTACTATGAAGGTTGCAAGAAACCTGAAGCAGAAATATCAAATGTGGAAAGTTCGTGATGGAATGATGCTCAAGCTTGAACAAAATGAATGATTTGTTAAACTAAATTAAAATTATACTGGATTCTCACAATATTGAAAAGAGAGAGTTCTTATGATTTCTACTCTTTGGATTAAAATCATTTATTAGTTTAAATGAACATTTAAACGTTTGGCCTTTGAAAATATCTATAGGACAAAGCCGAAGCCTGCCAAGCTGGAAAAGGGCATGATGTGGGGGATTTATGTAGACCATGCTCGCAATCATCATGAGTGTGAAAGTTCCTTTAACTTTTTCTTCTGCAGCAAAAACCAGATCCATTTTTAAGGCAGCTCAGATTGCAGCTGAAGAATCCAGAGTTATGAGCACAATTTATGTCAAAAAAAGAATTCTGTTAAACAAATACTTGGCTACAAATACTTGCTAATTCTTTTCTGACAAATCTTTGAAAAAACACCTCATGTATCTATAGCAATTTCACAGGAAAGGTTCTCAGGTGTCGTTATCTCATTCATTTTTCCTCCGGGGCATTTGAACACTGGTAGGATATGGCACTGTGAGGTGCACATAAAATACTAAAAATACCACAGAGTGATTGATCACTTGTTTGCATTTCAGCCTGGGGAATTTCTGGAACGACATACAAACACACATGTATTAAGTGCTGTTTGGGCCCTGTCACTGCAGGATTTCCTTGATGAAAGGCAATTGCCAAAAACTGCTTCTGGCATTCTAAATTTTAAAAAAGTCAAAGCATCATTTGTTGTAGGTCACTACTGACCAATTCCTCCTTTTTGTATTCCTCTTTTTAAAAAGACAGACGGATGAATAGACTTGCAAAAAACATCCTTCTTGTTCATTCCAGAAATATGTTTTTCATCTTAAAAGCATTTGCATATGAAAAATACATGAGTATCACTGAAGTCCCAGTCCATATACATTAAAAGAGCATCTCTAAGAATGCTGTACTGACTGCTTCCGTAGGGCCAGACAAAGGACCTCAGAGGAAGAGGAAAGAAGATGTTGCAATGGGCAGGGAGGAGGAGATCAGAAAGGCCAGGGTCTGAGTTATCCTGCGTCTCCTCCAGCCTACTGCTCTGAAGCACATTCCCAGCTAGGCTAGAATGGGTTGGGCAGCCCATCTAGTGAAAGCAGGGGGCTGGAGGATGGAGAGGCAGACTTCACCTCTGCTTCTGCTCCTGCATTGCTAGCTCCAACTTGTCATGACACAGCAATCTTGAGAGCTCAGAGATCAGGGTCTTCCATGCAACAAGGGCTCAGTCCATAGGCATGTGGTTTAAAATCTCCTTTGCAACCTTAGCTTTCGTCACCATTGCTGTAGAGTAATATGGGTTAATGGAACCATATTGCTTCCTGATAGTGAGCCTTGGAAGCATAGGAGGTTAAGAAAATGCTATTGTGCTCAACTAGGGATGTGTGTAGAATCTGATAGGGAGGTGAACATCTGTTGGATTCTCACCATTCTGGTTCACCAGCCCTGCACTGGTGCTGCCCTGCTATGGTGTGAGTTCAGCCAACTCACACACATACATTTCTAAGTAGGGTTTTGAATTGCACTTTTAAAACAATCAACCAATCTGCTAAGGAAACTTGCAAAAATGGGCCAATTTGTGCAATCTGGCATCCAAAAGGCACGTACTCATCACATGATTTGTGCAAATGGCATAATGACAACATGCTTTTTGGGTGTCAATTTGCAGAAAATGCATGAAATACCATTCTTACACATATTTGCGCAAACTGCGTGATTGGTTTTCTTCATGTTTAAAAAATGCACAAAGTACAGCCAGCCTTAGAGACAGCAGTCTGCTCTTCAGGAAAAAAAAAAAACCCAACTTGGTCTACTTCCATCAAGCACATGCAAGCCAGATTTTCCAGTGTCAGCACATTCCTATGCTCAACAGTACTCCATCTGGCACTTGCATGGGTGATGCACTACAGTCATCCATTTTTTCCTCCAGGCAGCTGCAGCCCCAGGGTTGTACCTCATATAAAATAGGTTCCAGAGTTTATGAAATCTGCACATTCAGCCACAGTCAGAAGAATGGAAGACATAAAATGAGTGGTTCTCTGGAGGGTTTGGCACACAGGAAAGATTTGTTTGACTATTACACCATTGTGCAGTTTGTAGTTTGGCTTAATCTGACTGGGCCAGGTCTAACTGCCAGAAGTTGGTTGAACATTGACCTGGTAAAAGAATCACAGGAATACTCCCCCCCCCCCCCCCCCACCCCCGCCAACCCCAGGTTCTGAGTTGGATTCTCAATCTGCCAATTTTGTAATATGGATTAGCCCTAACTAGCTGTGCACATATTTCACCTCTCTGAGGACCAAGCTATGCAATCCTTTAATCTTATAGAGTTGAACTCTGCGAGTTTGTCTCCTCTCCTCTCTTGAATTAGAGCAGGAGTGTGGTGCTTCAAGAGAAGAAAGTTTCTGGTTCTTCTCCACTTTTCATTAAACATCAGGAAAGGGAACTTGAATCCCCTCTCATGGAATGTCCCAGTCCCAGTCCAACCATGGGACCATGTACTGAGGTAAATAACCAAACTCAACTAGGTTTACTATGTGTGATTTACACAACATGTAGTTTGGCCCTGATCTGTGGCTATAAATAAAATAAGTCCATTGCTATGGTGTGCAGATAGCTCTCAATAATGTAGTCACTGTAAATCAATGTAACCCATCCATTTCATGATTAAACTATGTTGTTGACTTTTACAGGTATAATCAAAAACTAGAGGGATTCTCAAGAGAACTGCATGGATTCTGTTGCAAATATCTAACATTTTACATACTTGCACAGTGATGTATTTCTAAGAAAACTGTGAATGTTGTTTCACTGAGAATATCTAGGGTGCTTTAGTTTTCTAGCAAGGCAATTTTCTTCTCAAGCATTTATTAGTCACTCAAACCAATGATATTTTAAAGAGAGACAATTACACTTGAGCAAAGCAGGTGGTAGGATATTTCTGGAAAGACTATTTAATTTGTCATTTGCTGCATTCTTACTCTTAAAAAAGATTTTGCTCTCCATTTAACAGAATGGATCCAGATGCAGTTCCTGTTTGTAATAAAACCATTGTATTTTGCAGCTGGATGCATGATTCTTGTTGCTAGGTCCATGAAAGAGCAAGGAAATTATTGCATGTTCTACATGATGTGTTAATGCCTTAGAAGAATAGGACATGTACTTCATATACTAATACAGGTCATCCAAATCAATGAGGCTGCACCTTTCAAACCCATTTCTGAATCACAGCCTTTCAAAGACTATAAAATGTGTAATGACACAGAAAAATCTGAAAGGCTAAAGCTAAGCCCACTGACTGGGAGCCAAATGTAAACTGCTCTGGAATATATGCAATAAATCGATAGTGACTCAAGCAAGAGCTGCACTGAGTTCACCCCATGAAGTCACCAGGTGGCCTCAGGCAAGCCACATTCCGTCAGTCTTCCAGTACCGACATGAGGCCAGGAATAGTGACTGAACCTACAGGGTTCTGTAAAGATGCATGCAAGGTGCTTTGGCAACCCGCGCAAGGGCCCTTCAGAACGGATGGGAGAGCCCCATGTGACTGGCTTACTCATTCCCATGCCGCAGCTGCACAGGAGTGCTGCAAACTGAACGGACTTGGTTAGGTGCAGGCCACGTCCACGCCTTTTGCTATTCAGTCTGCATTCTGCAAATCAAGGCATGTGTCCCAGGAGCCCTTGCAGTACTGCAGAAAATGGTAGAATGAAGGTTTTAGATTCCCTTAGAAACACTTGGAGAAAAAGACCCAGTCTCTTCTATCCAAAACAGATCAAGAGGTTCACCGTTCCTTCTATGCAAAGTCACATTGGCATGTCGATAAATATTGCCACCTAAAACTACTACTTGGGTTACTTGTGTACTAGAAGCACCTTGAGAACTGATCTTAGTTTAAGTTAGAAGCATGTATTGTTCATTTCATTTATTTAAAAATATGTATACACCAGATTTCATTTTCAAATAACAGGTGTACAAAATATAAATACAGGTCATTTATCACTATCGACATGTCTCTAAGAATAAGGGCATTTGAGGCATATTTTGATGGAAAGCACCTCCAGACTGAGCTGAATGTGTCAGTGAGATTCCTAGGGCTTACAATTATATTACTGTAGCAATATGATACATTGCTATGATACAGAACGTAAGCTGAAGAACCAGGCTGGTGCATTACTACTATAAAGAGAGCCTTCCTGATCTTTCTCGTTCCAGAAGATCAAACTTATGTTCTGATCAAAGTTGGGGCATCTTCAACAGAAGAAGCTGGCTGTGACTGTGTCTGGTCTTTCCACTAACTGCCGGGTCAGCAGCCCTTATTCTTTGATATGTCAGGGACTGAGCCGTTGATGCCACAGAAGGCTAGTGATGACAATAGATGAAAGGAGTAAGAATGAGACAGATAATGGCAAAGTGAGAGTGTCTGCTATTATTAGTCACTCGGTTCTTTTAGCTGATGGGACTCAGAGATGAGCGGAAAGTACCCTGGGAACAGCTACTGGACTCTTGTCAAGACCACTCTTCAGCAACGCACAACGCTGGAATCAGCAGCACACATACAGTCCCAACATCCAGCTAAACTAGTTGTATTTAGACTTAAAGATCAGAGGTGAGCCTTGAAGGGATGCCTTCCCAGAAGACCATTTCAGAGTCCTCTGATTTGAGCCATTTATGTATGCTCCGTTAAATGCTTAACCCAGATAACAAAACAGATTCTCATTAGCACATTGACTATGGCTTATACCCACCAGATGTCATGCCTGTGACCCATCACACAACCTTAATTAGTACTTTGGGTAACGAAGAGATTTACAAACCTTTAGATGTGAGCAGGAAAACTACAAGGATTTCTGCAACCTTTAACATCAGAATGGCCTTTTTGTCTCTAAACTGACCTGACTGCAGCTTGTCTCAACTCTGTGCATCCCAAAGGAGTAGTCATCAGTGAATGTAATGGTGTCAGAAGCAATCACATCAAAGAATGAAGGCCAACCTGAAAAATAAAAAGAATGAACAAGAAATTAACCTGCAAGGATTTCTGTGTCACATAGGATTCTGAAAGTTTCTAATCACAAATGTGGTCATCAGAGATGTGGTCATGCTCCAGATGGTAACTTTTTACTGGACTGGGAAGACAGACGAGCAAGTTTTCAAGTTTGAAACTACTGTTCCTTCCTGCCTACAAAAAGGCCTGTGTGACCTGAAGTGCACAAACCTACACCAACATGTTCACATACTTCATCCAATAAAATTCAGATTCCATACCTCCTGAAAAAAATAAATGTGAACTGGAGATTAACAGGTCGGAACAGAACTGGCCTTACCATGGAGAAAAGTAAGAACTTGAAACACTAAGCAGTTTTCAGAAGGGCACCATTTTCCTGCCTCCAAATTCTATTTCGCTGAGCTTCTTGTCTTTTCCTTTTAAAAATGACCTCCAATTTAAAATGGCCCTGTGTGTGTATGGATGGGGTGTGGGCAGAAGGAGTGTCATTCTGATACTTTGTGCCTGGTGTGAAAAGGTCTTAAAAGCAGCTAATTGGAAACCGTTGCCCTTCTTTTGTATCAGAGAAGCTTAACCTACCATATCCACTAAGTATAATGACACAGTACAATGATTTGAATAACTTAAGAAAAACAAGTTAGTGACAACACCTTTTCAAGCAAGTAAACATCCTTGATGTTGACTTGTGACAACAAATACAACTTGAGCACATCACAGATGCACTGAATAGGGTTTTACAATTTTCAAATAAATCCAGAGCATAAAGTCCATAAGACATAATAACGCAGGAGGGCCCCTGATTAATTTGATCAAGGGTCCATCTACCATACTTTTCAACTGTAGCCGTTTAGAACCCTCTTAGAAGGGGTTGTCACTGCAAACGTTCCCCTGCTTTCTAAAGTAGTCAAATAATGTCAAGGCAAAGGAATAGATATACATAGCCCTAGATATATATATATATATATATTCCCAATCACCAAAAAAAATGTTTAGAAAAATTTATGTGACTCTCTTAATAACATCATGAAATTACAGAGAATTATGCTTTCAGATGCAACTGTAGTACAGGATATGCTTGACTTTGTATAACATTTTAAAACAAAATGTGGTACAAAAGTCATCAGATGGTTTCAATAAAATAAAATAAACACACAGGATGGGTTGCATATTATGCTAATCCACCCTGCAAATAACTCAGGGGACTTGGCAACCCTCTTATCACCGCTCCCCACCACAATCATGAACCCTTTTCCACATGCTGTTTTTTTCCCTTCTCCTTTTTCCTTCTTCTTTTCAGAGATCACCTTCCATGATCTCCAAGTAGCTTCTCCAAAGTGCCAAAGAGGCGCACTGGAGGGACTGTCGCTGGTTCACCCTGCTGGGTAAGTAGTGAAGAAAAAACAAATAGGAAAGAGTCTGCTAATCAAAACAAGATAGCATACGGAGAAAGCCTATCAATTGAAAGGTGGCGCTTTCTGTTAAGGAAAGAGTCTGAGCATATACAATCATTTTCACCAAAATATAACAAGCTTTAAACCACTCTGGTAGAAGCTTTTAAGAAATTAGGCCCAGGCCTAGGTAGAAACCCAGCAGACACAAATTTCAAACAGTTTATTAAAATTAACATTCATCTTTTAAAATGTATGTTTTACATTTTTACTATTCTTTCATTTTTTGCTTTCCTGTACTCTCATTCTTTTAGATATCTAACCATTTTCATAATTGGCTCATTTGTTAAACCCTAACAGCCCTGAACAGAAATCCGAACAGATTATGAAGAAGGAATGTAAGAATAAGGAAAATAAATATTTTATATTTTGAAACCTCAGTCTGAAAACAATGCTGGTCTTCTAACATTTCCCCATTCATTTATACCAGCCCAGGCTCATGCTTTTTGATTTGCGGGACCCATGGTCACATGTGCTGTCAGGAATAGCAGCACGACATAAGAAGGTTAGAAATAGTGAAAATTGGAATTTGGTATTGAACCCTCAGTAATTAGTGCTGTCCCAACTACCTTAAACCAAGGAGACTTCTACCACTGAATGAATGTAAAATCCATCTACTACTAACTCTCAAGACTTGTCTTATCTGATCTTGGAGCATCCACAATTGACTTTTTCATAGTGCTGTATGATTTATTAAATTTCGTGTCCAATTGTAAGGTGGGCAAGTGTATCGAGATTGACCATCTATCTCTGATGTTATCTTTAAATATTGGCAATTGTATTGACCATGTCGTCCATAAACCAATGTTAAACTTAGAGACAGAAGCATCACGTGTTAGGTGATCAGTCAAGTTGGAAAATGCCTTAACTAAATTACTGTATTCAGAACAAAGTCTTTGCAATCACAATGCACTGTTAGCATCTCATTATTTTGAAATAGTTCTGGGTCTATTTGAAAAACTGATCTGCTCCATACAAAATTGTCTGAATGATAAGGCCCCTGTAAAATAATGTCTTCCCCTCCAAGTCCAAAAACTGGTTTGATAGAGAATGCACGGCTATGAAAAAGGACTGAAAAATAAATGGTCTATTTAGCAGGCTGAATCTAAGAGCACTCCCTGCTGATTGGATTGAGCTGAAGAGGAGATATAAAACCCTAATCAAAGAAAAAAAGAAACAGGCCCAAAGAAAGACATAGCAATGCTTAGGAGAAGCATTAAGGGCAAAATGACTTAGCTACTTTCTGAAGACTGGTCTCCAGAGGTTGGCACAATACGACAAATAGTCTATAGCACTATATCCCTGCCGATTCCTAGGAATTGTACTTTAGCCAGATATATGCAAGAGGGCAAAGTTGTCAGCTGGCTGATATAAAGTCTTTCCAAGTGGTCCACTGTTTCCCCCTCCAAGATCTCTTCTCCAAATTCAAACCTGGTAATATTCTACCTGAGCTTCTTAAGGCTAATATAGAGTAGGGGTCTCCAGTCTTATTAATTTGTATTGATCATTCAGCATGCATTCCAGAGGCTGGGGGGCTTGCCATTCTTGTCCCAATTTATAAAAAGGGGAACAGACCTGACCCTGCTGGTTATAAAGCTATCAGTCTGCTGAATGTCATTAGCAAGTTATATGCTAGCTATCTCCAGGAAAATTAGTTGGAGCATGACAACATACTGAGAGATGAGCAGGCTGGCTTTAGGACAGGGCATTCCACAGTTGATTATGGACTTGTATATTATTTTTAAGCACAACAAATTTGAACCAATGTTTTCATTATTATGATTTAAAAAATAGTTCAACTTGTGCATATCTGAAGGTGTGGCCCTGTGGGTTTACAGCAGGAGAGCCCTTACCTGGCATTGTCTTTAGAGCTTTCTATTACCAAAATGCAGTAGGCACTAACCATGAACATTGACCCAGAGAATAGGTCAGTTTTTGACTTCAGGCTCTCCTGACAGCTGTCGAAAAATGAGCTGATAAGGGAAAGCAAAGCTTTGCTCATGTGGGGGGACAGTAGATCACCCGCTTCATTGTGAAATCCTGCAGTTGTTTCGATTGAACTTGTTTCTTCTCAGTGACCTTGCACTTTTTCACCCTTTCTTGAGAATGTAGGTACTCAAGGAGGCAGAAATATGCTAGCCACCAGAAAATTCACTGAGGAATCAATACAGCTCAGGTCCAAAAGTAACAGAAGAACTTCATCTTATCTCTGCCCAATTACATAGAATAAAGGGCTTAGGATTGCAGCCTAAAAGCATTCATCAGATTGACCAGAACAAGAACACATGAGATCACTAAAAAAGATGCAGGCTAAAATATCTGGACAGCACGAAAGCATCTTGCAATATAAACATGAGAAATTCCTCTATTTCTGCCAAGTTAACAAAAAGAAGTCAGAGAAAGTAACCCTCCACAAGCATTCTCTCTTCCAAGAGGAAAAAGCGTCCTTAATAAATGCTTCTGGATTGGACCAGTTTTTTATTGCTATAAACAGAAAGCAGTACCTTGGAAGAAGAATGCCTTTATCATGCAAATATTTTGGGAGGAAGACCTGTTCATCAGTACTGACAAAATCCTCAAAGAGAACATTCCTACCCTGCATAATAAGAGGCAAACTTCAAAGGCCGATAGGAAAAGATTGAAGCAATCTCCATCTTATGGAAAAAGTTATATTGAGCAAAAGGATTCGATAGATGGATTTTCTTCCCAGTTTTGATATTAATGGCCAATTACTCATCCACTACTGCAGCTTTTCCTTTGTGTGCCCCCCCACCACTTCCCTAAGCATAAGGAAAATATATCATGTTATTTTCTTGCCCACTTTCTGGCTATGAAGTCAGCTGAAAACCTGTACAGATGTATGAGAAATACTGCTCCCTATCTACCTCCAAAGCAAAACAAATCCCTGCATGCTCTATTAATTATTCTATGCCTTCTTTCAATATGGCATGGAATTCTTCATTGGTATTATTCATTTCGTGAGAAAAGCCCTTTGCAATCTCACAGCATCAAAGTTTTGTATTTTATCATAAACATCATGGTACAAGACAGAACCTGTTGAGCTATGACTCAAATATTAATTCTGTCCCCAAGAGCAACCCAACAAAATACAAAGCCAGTAATTTTCCAGAATCAAGTGTCATCTTTTAGCCATTCTAATGTGCTATGGCTTTTATTCATATATTATAATTTTGATTCTAATCTTCACAGCACCCATAATGCCAAGCATAAACCCTGTCTCCAATAACAAAAGGAACCTTTATTTGAAAGTGATAAGCATCTGATGTCCTTTTTCATATTATTTAATGTTTCAGACCCGACCCTAAAAAAATAACACAATCACACCAACATCGTGAGTGCCATGTTGTCCAGTTGCACCTTCGTGCCTCCTCTTTAGCTTTTTTACTTTTCTATTTAAGAAGCTATTAAGTGTAGCCTGCTTTAGATCATACTCCCCCTTCTGAAATTGTTATAATATTTCTTCAAGAAGACTATTTAGAGGTAGGAAAAGAGGACATTATGTAAAAATGCTGAGTACTA